GGTGACCCCAAAACGAAAAGTGACCCCAGGGGAGGGGTGTATCCATGGGGTATTTTTGGGGTGTATCCATGGGGTGCCGGGCTGTACCCATGGGTTGTGGTTTTGGGGTGTATTTTTGGGGTGTATCCATGGGGTGCCGGGCTGTACCCATGGGTTGTGGTTTTGGGGTGTATTTTTGGGGTGTATCCATGGGGTGCCGGGCTGTACCCATGGGTTGTGGTTTTGGGGTGTATTTTTGGGGTGTATCCCTGGCCTGTACCCATGGGGGGTATTTTTGGGGTGTTCCCATGGGTTGTGTTTTTGGTCTGTATTTTTGGGGTGTCCATGAGCTGTCGGGCTGTACCCATGGGTATTTTTGGGGTGTTCCCACGGGCTGTAATTTTGTGGTTGTGTTTTGGGGGTGTATCCCTGGCCTGTACCCATGGGCTGTGGTTTTGGGGTGTATTTTTGGGGTGTATCCATGGGGTGCCAGGCTGTACCCATGGGTTGTGTTTTTGGGGTGTATTTTGGGGCTGTACCCATGTGATGTATTTTTGGGCTGTGTTTTTGGGTTGTATCCATGGCCTGTACCCATGGGCTGTATTATCAGGTTGTATTTCAGGCTGTATTTCCAGGCTGTGTTTCAGGCTGTATTTTCAGGCTGCATTTCAGGCTGTATTTTCAGGCTGTATTTCAGGCTGTATTTTCGGGCTGTATTTTTGGGCTGTACCCATGAGTTGTATTTCCAGGCTGTATTTTCGGGTGTATTTTCGGGCTGTATTTCAGGCTGTATTTCAGGCTGTATTTCCAGGCTGTATTTCAGGCTGTATTTCCGGCTGTATTTTCTGCCCGTACCCCTGCACCCCCCGCTCCATTCCCCCCCTCCCCCAGCGCTGTCCCCGCTGTCCCCGCGGCTGTTGTGACCCTGGAACCCCCGCGGCCTCTGTGACACCACGGCCACCCCCGGCTGGCCTCGGGCTCGCTGTGCCCCGCGGTGTCACTTTGTCACCACGCCACCGCCGCCACCGCCGGCAGCAGCAGCAGCGGGGGCTCGCACGGGCGGGGGGCTCCGGCAGACCCCCCCCCCATGTCACACGACAGCTGGGTGGGCCCCTGGAGACCGCACCGGGCCCGGGCTCCGGTGTCGGTGCGGTTCCGCACCCCCGGGCCCAAGTACCGGCTCCCCGGGGGGATCGGTGAGTGCGGGGGTCCCGCGGGGGAGCGGGGCGGGGGGCGCAGGGTCCCACCGAGCCCCTCCGCGCCCGCAGGCTCCGAGCAGCGAGACCCCTCCAGCCGCCGAGCCCCCGCCTACAGCTTCGGGAGGAAACTGGGGCGCCCCGAGGAGCCTCGCTCGCCAGGACCCCAATACCTGGTGCCCACCGGCTTCACCGCCCGGGGACGCGACCGCGCCCCCGCCTTCACCATGGGCCGCCTCCCCCGGGAGCGCAGGGTCAGCAGCACCCCCGGGCCAGGTGAGTGAGGGGCGGCGGGACCCCCCCCCCCGAGGAGCCCGCGGCTCGCCCCGGCTGAGCCCCGCTCGCCCCTCGCAGCTCAGTATCACCCGGAGCTCGCCAACCGGGCCACCCTGCCCTCCAGCCCCGCCTGCGTCTTCATCCCCCGCGGCCGCCCCGAAAAACCGCAGGAGACGCCAGGTGAGGGAGGGGCGCCGTGGGACCCCCACAGCTCCCGGGGGTGGGACCCCCACAGCTCCCTGGGGTGGGACCCCCACAGCTCCCTGGGGTGGGACCCCCAACATCTCCCTGGGGTGGGACCCCGACATCCTGCCTGGAGTGGGACCCCCACAGCTCCCGGGGGTGGGACCCCCAACATCCCCCTGGGCCGGGACCCCCAACACTCCCCCGGGGCTGGCCTGGGCTCCCCATCTCCTCCTCGGGCTGGGATCCCCCATCTCCCTGGGGCAGCCTGGGCTCCCCAACACCCCCTGGCTGGGCTGACCCCCACCCCAGCACCCCGGGGCTGAGCTGCGCCCCCTCCCCAACACCCCCTGGCTGGGCTGAGCCCCACCCCAGCACCCCGGGGCTGAGCTGCGCCCCCTCCCCAACACCCCCTGGCTGGGCTGAGCCCCACCCCAGCACCCCGGGGCTGAGCTGCGCCCCCTCCCCAGGCCCTGCCAGCTACGAGCTGCCCCCGGTGATGGGGCCCCGCCTGGTGACCAAGAGATCGGCCCCCGAGTACTCCATGGCCGGGCGGCGGCGCAGCCTCTTCGACCCCCGGGAGAGGGTGGGAGACGGGGGACCGGGGGAGCAGGTGCACAGGGGCTGGGGGTGCCAAGGGGCTGGGGGTGGGGGGTGTGGGGTGCCAGGGGGGTGTGGGGGGTCTGGGGGTGGGATGCTGAGGGTTTGGGGTGCCCGGGGGCCGGGGGCTGGGGGCTGGGGGTACCCGGGGGCAGGGGGGTGGGGGTCTGTGGGTGGGATGCTGAGGGGCTGGGGGTGCCAGGGGGATGTTGGGGTGCCGGGGGTCTGTGGGTGGGATGCTGAGGGTTTGGGGTGCCAGGGGCATGTGG